AAACATGCAGGCACACACATGCACACACAGTCACACATACAAACACACGCAGACACACACAAACATGCAGAAACACACAGGCACACGCATGCACACACAGTCACACATACAAACACACACACACAAACATGCGGAAACACACAGGCACACACATGTACACACAGTCACACACACAGACACACACATGCACAGACACAAGCACATGTGCACTGCTGCCTCCCGCCTCACTGCCCGCCTCCAGGTCCCGCCCACCTGCAATGTTCTCCCCCCACCCCTAAGCTGGGCTCAGCGTCCCTCCTACCTATCCTGAGACCTGTCTCATACCCACTGTGTTGTTCTACAAACACTTCCCGGTGCCCCAGCACTCTGCTCTCCAAACATCAGCCCTGATTCCCATCTGCTCATTTTCAGGAGTACATCTGGTCTCTCAATTAGGCCCCGACCCCAGGCCCTAGAAGCTGCTGCACAGCGGGGCCCTCGCCGCATGCCATGCCCGTGTCACTGCCGGGACCCCAGAACCAGAACAGTTACTGTGTCTCCTTTGCACCTGACTCACCTGTTTCCTCCTTGGTGGGTGTTTTCCAATGTCCTGGTACCTTCTGAAAGACAAGAGACAGTCATCTTTAAATGTTTAAAGCTCAGCCCTGATACGACTTTATAAAAATGTCACATGTAGCCTTGACTGTGGGAGGGACTGAACAAGAAGAGGCACCTGGCGCCCACCCACCACTGGGCTGCCACTGGGTTGCCACTGGGCTGAAGTGATGCCTTCCCAGCCATGGGGGCAGAGGGGACCCAGGGAGCCTCCCAACTTCATCCTTCAAAATCTGGGAAAATCAGCTGCATTCTCATGCATGAGGGTGGCTTCTGCCCTGAGGTGTTCACACAATAGTGAGGACCCCAACATTACCATGAACACAGCGTGTGTGGCTCCCACAACAGATGAACAAAGCAAGAATTACCACTCTCAGGGACCAGAGAGGACACGAAGGCCCAGAGGGACAAGGGTCAGGGTCTCACCCGAAGTCCCACAACCAATCAGCAGCAGAACTGAGATTTGAATTCAATCCAAAACACAGTCCACCTGCTCCCTGCGGCCACACCAGGCTCTGATTCCTCCCTGCTGCAGATCACACGCACGTCTGGAAGCACTTCCATCACACGGCTCTCTGCCAAGAAACCCTCTCTGCTCTACTTTGTGGGTGCCCAATGCACCTCCACCTGTTGGCCGCTGTGTGGCCTCCTGTGGGTCCTGAGTCTCAACCTCTCAGGTGAGGGAGAAAGGTATTTAAGCAACTGATGGACTCAAAATGCAGGGGACGGCAGGAACATGCCATGGGAACAGGTAGAGACACAGTCCCAATGGTATTCCACCTGCTGTGACAGTGACATGAGGACTGTCACCAATACCTAAGTCGATGCAATTGGGAAACACCCACTCTCGCCAGCAGGACTCTGCCCTGGATACCCGACTGCTGCAAGGTCGTCCCCAGGCAACAGGACAAAGGGAGCCTTTCTCCATCCTAAGGTGCAAATCCTGACACCTGGAGCAGAAGAGGGAGGGGGTGGCCTCAGGTGCGGCACCACTGGGCCAGTTTGTGCCCTCGTGTCACAGGGTGGGAGAGGCAGGGAGGGAGGGGACCACTGGCGGGGTATTCTCTGAAAGTCCTCTCCACAACTTGCCATCCGTGCTTTTCCACACAGAGATGAAAAGTGAAACCTCTTTTTCTCTTTTTCTTTTGTTTTTTAGTTATTGGCCAGGGCCAGGTTTGAACTTGCCATCTCCTGTATATGGGGCCAGTGCCCTACTCCTTGAGCCACAGGCACCGCCCCGACACCTCTTCCTTTGCTCAAGACACCACCACTAAAGGACTTGACAAAGAAGCAGTTGTAGGGAAGGACCCTAGTGAGCCCTCAAACTGTGTCCTATACAAAATGTGCTTTGGATGTACCCACTGGGCTCAGCACTCAAGGACAACCACAGGTCCATTTCAGAGCCGAGCACGCCAGTCCTCCCCAGTGTCTGCACCTTCCAGTGGTCACCCCAGTCCCCCCAGTGTCTGCACCTTCCAGGGTGTTATGACCCCCTCATGTCATAAACACACACACTGGAGCAGTGTCCCCTCCCAGCCAGGCCCAGGGGCTACTATAAAAACACTGCTTTTCTCACCCCAAGAGCCTGACACCCGGCACAAACTGCCTTTAAGCTAAAATCAAAATAAGAAAACAAATCACGGTGGGTGCTGCCCACATCATGGGCCACAAAACCACACTCTGAAGGCAGCCACGAAACACTTCTGCTCATTGTAACTCCTGGCATCCCAGAGAAAAAGCAATGGGCTCCACGGAGAGTCTTCCTGTCCTTGCCAATACAGCAGAGAAGAGGGTACTGCTAAGCTCAATTCTAAAAATCTGAAATGGAATCATAAGTAAAATAAGAACACCAAGTTTCACTATGGAAAAACAACCAATAACCAAACTGGAGACATCTGGGAGAGGCCCTGGGGAAAGGCAGGTTTCCACAACTGAACAAGGGACGGCAGGAAATGTGCTCACTGCTGGACCTCGCCGGGAACCTTTGGGGACTTCCAGTAGGGCAAATGTTTGAAGCTCTCCAGGCCCCCAGCAATGTAAAAATGATTATCTTGCAAATCCTTTGAGTTGTCCAAAAGATGCCCATTCATCGAATATAACCTGCAAGGGAAGAAGAAATGGGGTAGAGATTTTAAGATCAGCAGTACAGGGTTCCGGGTATTTCTGTAAACGCCTGACTAGTACAGAGCCTACTAGGGAACATGTGATCATCAGCCAGCGTGGTCCAAACGGGCGGTTGAACCCTCTGGGAGCTGCTCTTCTAGGATTATTACACTCGCTTTCCATTTTTAGATTTTTTAATTAAAGTGTATTTTTAATTATGTGCAAGTGCTCAGAGGCTCTTGAGAACATGTTAAGCTCTTGGTTGGTGTTCAATTAATCTTAACTAATAATAGCTAAAATGAAAACAAATTGGGTTATGTTATTATAACAATACTTGAAAAATAAACCAGCATTTATTAGCAAATAATATGTACTTTTATAAGCAGCAAAAGACTAATCTCAGTCTACTTTGTATTCGGTACTCCTTTTTGGCAAGTTCTCCTTCTGTGGCATATTCATTTAAGAAATGATTTGATCAGTTGAGTGCTGAGTGTCTACACACAGAAGACAACGAGTGCTCTGCCAGGACAAAACATGAATGAGGAATTCTCTGCCTTCCACAAGTCAAGGAGTGCACAAAGCCTACAGGGCACACATCACAAGAGAGGGCACAGTGCAGGGTCCTGAGAGGAGACAGGGGGCCAACCGTGGGCTTCACAGAGGAGGACATGCCATGCTGTTGGAAGGAAGGGTGGGACTTCACCAGGAGAATACGGGAGGAAGCCACGGAGGTGCAGGCACAGCCACAACTGAGGGTGCCACGCAGAGCACATGGATGTCTGGGGCAGGGCAGGTTCTAAAGAGCCTTGGACCCGGGGAGCAGGAACCATATCACTTTAGTCAGAGTGAGGGAAGATTTCCACATGGGGGAGGTGGAGCTGTTTTAGCACAGGGAAGCTGACCGTGGTGGCAACTGAGGAGGAGAGAGGAGACACAGAGTTCCTACAGGCACAAAACAAGTCATGACTCAGGGCACAAGCACAAGCACAGAAGAAAAGGAACATGAGGTGTGTGGAAAAGGTGGGAGCCACAGAGCTGGCTAAAATGGGCCTGAGGGTGCATCAGAGCCCCTAAGACCACGGCCCCGCCAAGGGGTCCTGAGTAGTGACGATGAGGCCTGAGCTCCTCCGCTCTGACACATTTCCTTCTGCTTATGGGACACTCTGCTCCCATAGCCCATTTCAAAAGCCATTGCCTAAGGTCAGCCCCAAAGGAGATACACAAGGACATCAAGACAGGTGCAACTGTGAACAGCCCCTGGAGAGCAGGCGAAGCCCCAGGACTTCCATGCAAAACCCCCCACCTGGGATCCTGCTCCTCTGCCAGTGCCCTGGACCATCAGTGTCCTTCCCCCACCATCCTATACACTCCTGCACAGGTGCCCTAGACCATCAGTGTCCATCCCCCACCACCCAGTACACTCCTGCACAGGTGTCAGTGTCTCCAGAAGCATCACTTTTAAGGGCCCCAGGGAGATGGGAGAGTAGCTACTGCCATCTAAAGCAGTGCACCCCCAAAGCTCCTGCCCCCAGGTCAGACAGTGAGGAGTGGTAGTGACAGTTTGGGGTGGAGGGGTGAACCCTGAGACAACTCAACCTGAATGTCCCACAGAGACCAAAAGAGCTCCCAGTTTTCCCTCTAGCAACAGAAGGCTTGCAGGGACAAGCTGCTTTTATGTCCATTTGTTTATTTGCTTTGAGGAAGTTATGTGTCCTTTTCATTCAGGGATGAGACGATCTATGCAAAGAACCAGACTTGGGACAGCTCCACGCAGGACTCAGGTGGTCCCCATGAGGGGGGCCAGAGCCACAGCCACTAAACTGATCCAGACAAAACAAAGCCAACTGCGGCCTGGCCAACCCACAAGGTGGAGGGACAAACGGCTTGGACCTGTTCCCCTGGGACTCTCCACATCCATGTCTGGCCTCACCCTCCTCTAAGAGAGGCACGTAGCCCACTCCTCCCCTGAACAGGGTGATGAAGGGCAAACAGAACTCCTGGGAGCATGAGAAGGGAAAGCTGTCCCAAAGAAAGGAAATTACACCCTTGAGGGCAGCTGAGCCTGGACGTCACAGTCACATTACACGTGTATACACCTGGAGGGCCTGACACGTGCTGAGACTGCGCATGTGCACCCGGGCATCGCACACGGAGAACGGCAGCCTTATGACACGTGATTGACACGTGCTGAGACTGCGCCTGTGCACCCGGGCATCGCACACAGAGAATGGCAGCCTTACTGAAATGAGGATGTCAGGGAAATGAACGATGAGAATATAGGTATCAAACGAGATTGTGCGCATAAATAAAAATGTTTTGCATCACAAAATCCTAGATAATCACTAGGAATTTCTATTATTGCCTATCCCAGAAGATGTGAGGACTAAATGAAACAACCATTTGCAAAGTTGCTTTGTAGATTGGAAAGCATTACACAAACGCCTATTATTAAATGCTTTTTAATGAAACTTTAGGATTGGGGATATAGTAAAAAATGTAAATATCTCTAAATTAAATTAAATCCTCTTAGCAATAAATAGAGAGCCAATCTGGCTGTTTTCCCAAAAGAAAGGTACAGTCCGCCTTACAAGAATTTTGAAATATTTGTGTTTAGCAAGAGTCCTTTTTAAGCCCTGATTTTCAGCTGAGGTTTCCAATCTCTAGGTGCAGGGTTTAATTAGGCACCAAAAACCTAGACTCACCACAGGCCCCAGGGGTTGGTTCAGCCCGTTTCCCACTATTTCGGGATTTAAAAGCAGAGACTTATCAGACGCAGTCCCCAGCTTTAAGAAGCTTAAAATAGAGTAGGGAGAGATGGCAAGTCCTCAGCTGATAGGATCACGGAACCCAGCCCCGGGGGTGGGTCTTCCACCTCATCCTCTGGTGTGAACTCCGTCACATCCACCCCCTACTCTACCAGTCACACTAACACACACCACTGGTCTATCGCTGCAGCCCAACCTCCTCCCCAGTCTACACACTCAAACACCCAACCTGGCATGTCTGCAGCCTCTGACCAGCCTCTCAGACTGGACATGTCCACACGTTAATTCTAGGCTCTCCCAAACCTACATATTCCTCCTTCCACATCCCCCTCTCAGGGAGTGGTTCCAGCAGTCCCCAGCGGCTCTGAGCAAAGGGCTGGGAGTCCACCTGCCTTTCTCTTGTTCCTTCCTCCCTCTCTTCCCCCACCCATAGTCAACCTCCAGTCGAGCAGCAAGTTCCATCACACAAGCCTCTGAAATACGTACAGAACCAGACACCTGGATTACCTAGCATACCCTCCAAGCTGGGCTCCCATGTCTCCCTGCCCTCCTCCACCCACGGACGCTCTGCTTCAGAGCCTCATAACCCAAACCCTGGCACAGCTCCCTCTTCCCAGCAGCCTCCCACCCCTCCCTCCCTCCACCATGCCAGCCCCACCATCTGAGGGCCCCGTCTCAGGGCATGGGACTTGTGTGATGAGCTTCACACAGGTCTGGCATGTTGTCCTCCTTCATGCCATTCAGATGTGTTCCTAAATGTCACCTCCTTAGAAAAGCCTCAACTGGCCCCCTCTGCTTCTCTTTGAACCCGCCCATGAGGACCCACTCACCACCACAGCCCTGGAGTGTGAATGGGAAGCCCCAGGAAATACTTGTTGAATCAGTAAAGGAATAAACAAAAAAACACTCTGTGCATCAGGAAACTGGACACATCACTTCCATCTGGGGTGGGCAGGTGTGCACCGTCTGACACTGTGCTCAACAGGACGGGCTTGTGCTGAGCCAGAGTGAGGTCCATGAGGGCAGCAGACACCACGCTTATCTCTGAGTATCTTCCAAAGCTCAGCTTCCTGGGGGACCTCGCTCAGTGTCCTCATCCTGCTGCCAGGCCACTGTCTGTGCAGGTCCCAGCCCTGGGAGCACCCCCCTTACTGCCCAGTACCCCATGCCTCAGAGCCTGCCTGCCCCAGCCTCCCTCCCATTCCAAGCACCGCACAGAGCTAGTGACCCACCCACCTCACAGCCTCCTCTGGGTCTAACCAAGTCAGGCAGGGGTCCGTCCCCAGCAGGACTGCGCGATCTCAGTGGTGCTGAATGCAATGTGTTCTAGATGTTTTACCTCCTGGTTTCCATCACTGTGCGGCTCCTAAAACAGTGTCACGTGCACAGCCCATACCCAGGAAACTGACTGAGAGTGAGGAGTGGAGACTGTGTCCTTCAGAATCTCAGGGAAACTCTCCAGGACAGCTCACAGCCTGCTCCTCGAGCAAATCTCCTTCTCTCACCCTTGATTTCCTCCAGCCACACTAAACTGGGAATGCATCTTGCTGGCTCCTCAACATTCTGGTTTTCCCTGGGTCCCAGGTGAGGCAATGGATGCCCATGGGGTGCAAACCCGGGGAAGTGACATCCCCCACCTCCTGCACATCCTCCTGTTCTCAGAGCAAACACCCCAGACAGGCCCCCCAGGGCACGCTCCTCCCATAACAAACACGCTTGCCTCCACTGAAACCCCTCACCTATGTCTATCTTCTCTGTGGGGGACAAGCCCAAAAGCCATGCTGCCTGTGTCACACCCCAGCTCTCACCAACGCCCACCGAAAGCAGTTTCTCCACCAGGATTGGCAGAAATCCCTTACCTAGGGGCCCATTATACCAAAAGCTGCAAACTATCCAATAAATCAACCAATTTTTATTACCACAAAGAACAATTAGCTAGGTTTCTAGCGCACACACGGACAGGGTCTGACACAGGCCCCAGCTGAGCCATGTTAACATCACCGAGGGCGGGACAAGTGCAGGTACGTACGGACGTTCCTCACGCAGGGAGTGGCAGCGTGGTTTACATTCCACAGTAACACGTGCATTCACTTTAAAACATTCTGTCCCGTGCATACTACCCATCAAGCACTGTTACTCTTTCAAGCTCAGTATTTGTTCTTTATAAGCCTTTTTTTTATTTACAAGCTCTGCACTTTTTCTAACTTCAACCATAAAAAACTAATTTAAGTC